TACGTTGCACCCAAAAATCAGTGTGTGTTGGGGGTAGGTGATGGTGCAAACTGAATATCCAGTCTTGGTGTTCATTAAGAACTGTACTCAGTGAGACCCTGCACGCACACGCACACGCGCACACACACACACATACACAAATCCTAAAGAAAAGAACTGCACTCAAAGGCAACACTCACTATCACAAGAGTCAGTACCCTCTGTAGATACAAATTTAATCTAGACAATGAAAACCTTTATACAGAAAAACTAGATCTGGCTATTCTCAGGACAACCAAGTTTCATACAACATTCACCTAGGGGCTGGGGATTTGGCTCAGCAGCAGAATGATTGCCTTGCAAGCTGGAAGCCCTGGGTTTGGTCTTTGGTACCAAAACCAAAAACTAAACCTCCGCTAAAAAACAATTCAATATTCATCTCATTCAACAAACTATGCTGTATGCTGGGTATGTATAGTGAAGAAATTCCAAGGTTACATCAAATATCATCTTTTAAAAGCTTTTTGGGCTTAGGAGATAGCTTGGTGGTCTAAGCGCCTGCCTGGCAAGCACAAAGACCTGGGTTGATCCCTTGTACTGCCATGCTGGGTCTCAGAGCCCAGGGCACACAGTGACCACTGAAACTGGGCATGGTGGCACACATCTATAATCCCAGCACTGGGGAGGCTGAGACAGGAGTATCACTACAAGTCCCAGCTGTGTAGCAAGGCCTTGTACCAAATAAAAAATAAATGATTTTTTTTCATTTTTAAAATAAATGAAAATAAACTTTTCAATGTTGCTTTCTGTAGATGTAGACACATAAATCATACAGATCATATTACCAGCATTTATTGATTTTTTTTCAGAGCAGGAACAGGTTTGTACTGAACAAGTACTTACTGATGTGGTCATGAGAAAGGGCTGTGAAAAACAAAGTCTCTGGCTCATATACAAATCAAAACCGTAAGCCAGGTATGGTGGCATATTCCTACAACCCCAGCACTCTGGAAGGATGAGGCAGAAGGATGGAAAGTTCGGGCAATTTCTCTCAAAAGAAGGAAAAAAAGGGCTAAAGACATAGCTCAGTGTGACTTAATCTCTAACACACACACACACACACACACACACACACACACACACACACAGAGCACTGTAACTCTAACTTCACTGAATCTTTTCCCAAAGCATAATTACAATGATTTACCACTGCATATCATTGTGACTACAATTAATAAAATGAAACTTATTAGAACAGATTGTAAGTGTTCTCATTACACCCAAAAAGGGGGAGGGTAATATGAATATGTATACGAGGGCTAATTAAAATTTAGGTGTGTTCAAATTTTAAAAAGTACTACATTAAAAGTCAAGCATGGGCTGGCAAGACAGCTCAGCACGCTAAAGTGCCTGCTTAGGCAAGCTTAGGCAGACACAGGGGTCCACAGGTTTGATCCCTAGCACCATGTGCCACACCAGTGCCAGCTTCAGCCCTGCCCTCAAGGCAGGCTGAGTCAGCAAATAAAAAAAGTCAGCATGGTGGCACACACCTGTAACCCCAGCACTCAGGAGGCTGAGGCAGGAGGATCACCTTGAGTTCAAGGCCAGCCTAGGCTACACAGTGCGTTCAAGGATAGCATGGACTAGATAGGAAGACGCTATCTCAAAGCATAAGTTAAAACACACAGGGGCTGGGGAGATGGCTCAGTGGAAAAAGCACTTCCCTGGCAAGCACAAGGGCCTGAGTTCAATCCCCCGTTCCGCAAAAAAAAAAAACACTGCCAGGTGGCCTAGACCTCGCCTGGCAAGCATAAAATTGTGAATCTGATTCCAGGTATCAAAAAATTAATTAATTAGTTAAAATAAATAAAACATGTACTACCATTAGCCCCTCTCAAAATACTCCCCCTCACGCTGAACACTTATCTCATCCTTGCCATTTTCTGAAACAGTTCTCTTTTTGTGTGTTTATAAGATATGATCAAAAATACAGAGAAAGTTAATGCCAGGTGCCACCTGACACAAAGACAAGCTCATAAAAAAACATGGTGTGTACTCACCCATCTTATTCACTGGACCTAGCATCATGCAACTTCTGGCTCTTTCCAAAGTCAAAATGACCATGAAAGGTAAAGGTTCTGAACTGATTTAAGACATGGAGGCAGCCATGACAACACAACTAAAAACATTAAAGAAATCATACTTCCAGAACTGCTTCAGAGCAGAAACAGCAAGAACAATGGGCTAAGTATGTTCAAAGTGAGGGGGAGTATTTTGAGGGGGAATAATGACAATGTGTCTTTTACTGTAATACTTTTTTTTAATATTTAAACTTTTCTGTATTCATTGATCACAACAAGTATGTTAAGATTTAGCCATTCCACAATGTATATATAACATGTAGCACTTCATAAATTCATAACATTTTATTTGTCAATAAAAAAAAGCACAATGATCCACTGAGTGCTTCTCCCTTCTTAGCTCATTCTTCCTTTTGCTAGCTCACGGTCTTGGCTGGGTATATTACTTTTAAGAACCTCGCTTACGCCAGACGTGTTGTGGCACATGCATGTGATCTCAGCACCCAGGAGGCTGAGGCAGGAGAACTGGTGTGAGATTGAGAGCAGCCTGAACTACAAAGTGAGACTGTGTAACGAAGTAAAAAAAGTAGTCACAATTTTTAATACATTATTTACCCAATTCAGTATGAATTGGAATTCTACATGTCCTTCAAAATTTAATTCAAATCCCATCTTTGTCTATCACACCTCCCCTAAGAACACCAATACTATCATACATACACTCTGAAATCAAAAGCACATTATCCTCAAAAAACAAAAAAGCACATAGCCTCTTTCACTTTCCAGTCATTCAATAACACTTCAGTAAACAAATGGACTAGAGGAGCAGTTCCATAAAATTATATTGCCTAGTGACACTGTAGCCATCTTATACTCTATATTTTCACAAAAAGGAAACCAATACTATTCTCACAACTTTTCCCTCTCCTCAACAATACATGACTCTTTCGTAACTTTGTTACACAGTCTCACTTTGCAGTTCAGGCTAGCCTCAATCTCACAGTTCCCCTGCCTCAGCCTCCTGCGTGCTGGGATCACATGCACATGCCACCATGCCTGGCATTAAGTGAGGTTCTAAAAAGAATCACATATTCCTCCATATCACCTCTACAATATCTCATAAATAACCCTACATGTAAAGTGTACTTATATGGTTACATTTAACTGTGACAGGACTCAATTTACAAGTCAGGCATGATATAATAAATCTGTCTAAAGACATCAATAACTTCTCTGAGTAACTAACAGAGGCTTAGAAAAACACACGAAAAGCCTTTCAAATATCCATTTTAAGTGAGTATTTGAAGTGATAAGATACAATAAAAGTATGGAACTGTAGATGAAGTCTTCTTACTGAAAAGCAAATTAATGAACAGCAACTTAAAGATCCAAAGAGCTAAGGTCACAAAGGTATCATATTCGACATGTCACTGGTCACACACACTGGCTGAACTCCAGATTCTCTATCTGTGTGAAGAGAGTTCTGGAGGTTCTAATGTCTGCTGGAAAAAAAAAAAAAAAAAAGGTCTTCTCGACACTGAAATATAGCAGGAAGCACACACACAGCAAAACCATGCAGGATTACAGATAACTATGATTAAATCAGAGAAAGACAAGTAAAAAGGGAAGAAAATGCTAGAAATGTCTTAGTTGGGTATGGTGGCACACACTTACAATCCCAGCACTATGGAAGGCAGAGGCAGGACAGTCATAAACTTGTGAATTCAAACCCTGACTGGGGAACTTAAGAGATTCAGCAAGATCCTGTCTGAAAATTAAAAATTAAAGGACTAAGGACGCAGTTCAGCGCAAAGGCCGTGGGTTCAATCTCCTACACACCTTCTCCCCTCCCCCTCCTCCTCAAAAGCCTGAAAACACACACACTACATACAGACCTAACTGTAAGTTTCAAAGGCTATAAATACATTTTAGGAACTTATTCGCTGTATTTCGTTTGTATTTGTAAGAAATAAAACACGCAGGCACACTTTAGCAGGCCTCCCAGATTCTAACACACAGGTGAATGTAACATGCAACCACCCTGACTTAAGATTTAACACTGATACTGCTAAAAACCAAAACAGCTTCTGGGTTCGGGATGCTGGCGCTAGCTATCACACCGCACAAGTATGTTCACAAACTAGATCGCTACTTCTCTACTGGCTGACAACCTAGCAGAAGCAAGTGCAAAACCATTTTACGTCTAAGGAAGCGGTTCCTAACATCCTGTCCAGGATCTTCTTGGATAGAGTGGGGAGGAGTGGATATGAGAGGCGGCACTAAAAACAGCGGCAGCATGAGACTCAAAATAAGTTAAAACAACATGTTCTACCCTCTTCCTAAATTCAGTTCCTTCAATAGTGACGGGGAGCACAGGCAGTCTGCAAGTCATCAACACACGCTATTTTCACTTTCACAAGCACCCTGGAAGCTACCGAAGCCCAAGAGCCCTCTCCCCAGCTCGGTTCCAGGCCTCTCGCTGATTCCTGCCCTAGACACAAACGTCAAGAGGGACCACCCTCGGCAACCCGTTATTCCCCCTCACCAACTACAGGAAAGAGATAAAGTGAAAGTGGTGAAAAGTGGGCAAGGAGAAATGGAAGGTGGCGGCAGCAGAGGAAGGGTAGGTGCGGTGGGAGGCGTACAGAACGCAGACGAGGTGAACCAGAGTGCCAGACAATCGGGGAAGAGTTGTCCCGAGAATTAGCTAGGGAACACAAAAAAGATGAACGGGGGCAGGCAAAGGGAGGGGAGAAAGGGGGGTCAAGGTGAGACCACCAGGGAGGAAATGGGGGTCGCGCGAGGAGGCCCCAATGCCAGGCTGCGGGGCGCCCGGGGTGGGCAGGCAGACCGGGTCAGGGGCAGGGCCGACCGGATCCGCGCCCCGGGGCACGAATCTCCGCCCCGCCCGCACCCCCGACCGAGGACCAGGGCTCTCACCGGTAGTTTGGGGCTGACCTCGCCCTTGCAAAAGTGGCAGAAAAATCGGTGGGCGGCCACAGCTTCCTCCTTCGCGTCCGCCCCGGCCGCAGAAGCCTCCGCCATCTTTCTCCTCAGCCGCGGCTGTCGGGGAAGGCGGCCGCCCTGCCTCCAGCCGCTGCTCCCGGCTGCGCCGCCGCCTCCGCCTCCACCCTCGGCGCGGCTGCCGCTCCACAGCCCGCGTCGGTCACGTGAGTAGGCCGGACCCAGACAGGCGACAGCACGGCCCGCCACCTCGCGGCCCGCCCACCATCCCCACAGAGCGCAGGAAAGGAGAGCCGAGCGCCCGGCCCGCCCGCCGGCAACTCAAGGGGGCTTTCGCCGGCCTCCAGCCTTCCAGCGAGCGGACAGGCAGAGCGTCCCCGGGAACCACCGAGACGCTGGGCTAGAGCGGCGCGGCTGTTTCCTCTTCCCGCGACTGGCTCTGTGGCGATCGCTTCCGGGAAAGAGACGTGCGCTCCGCCGCGGCGCTGGCGGCTGCCCCGAGCGGCGGGACCTCGCGGTGCGGGACGCGGCAGCCGCAGCCCGGGAAAGGTAGATTCTCTCGACCCTGAGGTTAGTGGAAAATGACTTCTGAACGAGGTGTTTCTGACTCTGGGCCAAAGACCACGTCCGCAACGGGAAACTGCGTGAAGGGACCGGAGAGCCAGGAGCCAACACCTTGGAAATCCTTTCCGAGGATGGCAGAGGGTCTAAAGATGCTTCTCCAAAGACATTTGGATGATTGGAGTAATCTCACTGATACCGAGTGTAGCGGGCAAAGGATTGGCATCTAAGGAATTGACCGCAGCTTGTGATAGCCGAGCAATAACCCTTCCGCCGCCTGCATGTTTCTGTTCGTGTATGCATTAGCTAGGAGTAAAATTTTAAGTATTAAGTTTCTACAAACAATATAACTCATCTCCTCTTTGAAACATTCCGTTGAAAGAAAAACTTTGACCTCGTTTGTTTTTCTAAATTGTCATTTCTTTATGAATCGGAAACAAAATTGCCTTTTCACTCCCACTGAGCAGTGGGAAGTTAGTGACCTTAATTCTTTGTAGAATTTAAGGTCTGTAGCAGATTACTGGATCATTTATACCTAGTTTAAAAAAAAAAAACTTAGAATCATATGTACTCCCATAAAATACATTTGATGTATACACTTATAGTATTTTTCTATGAATGTGGCTTTTTTTTTTAGTCTACATTTTTCATTGCACTTTGCTTTTATTGCAATTATTTTTTTTTTTTTTAAAGACAAGGCCCTGCTATGGTGTTCAGTTTGATCTTAAACTCTATGTGGCCCAGGCGGGCCTCTAACTGACAGCGACCCTCCTGCCTCAGCCCTCCACGTACTGGGATTACAGCCTTGTGTTACTACTCACGGTTTACACTGTGAACAATTTCTGTGCTAATGTGTATCGTACTAAATCTTTTTAAACATTTGCTTACTGTATCCCATTCTACAAGTATACCATAATTTATTTTTTAGCCATTAGATGTTTCAGTGTGTCAGTATTGCTGTGTTGTAAAGAATTAATGCCAGGGGTAGTACAGAATGCCTATATTCCCAGCATTCAGGAGACTGAGGCAGGAGGATCCCCTCAAGTTTGAGTTCAGCCTGGACTACATAGTACAAGTCCAGCCTGTCTCCAAAAACCAAAAATAAATAAATAGAACTGGTGACATTTTTATTATTGTCTTGGACTAGAGCATCTAAAATGCAATTAATAAATATATGCAAGATGTTAGTGCTTTTCATATATATTGACAAATGACCTTCCTGAAGGAATATACAAATTCACAGCCAGGTGTGGTGGCACACACTTGTAATCCCAGCAGTCTAGCCATAGGCGGAAGGATGACCAAGTTCAAGGCCAGCCTGGGTTCATAGTGAGTTCAAGCGCAGCCTGAATTATGTAGTGAGACCCTGTCTCAAAAAAATAAACAAAAACAAATTTATACTGTTTTTTTCCTAGTTCTGAAACTTCCCAGTACAATGACTCAAGCTGAAATTAAACTGTGTTCTTTGTTGCTACAAGAGCATTTTGGAGAGATTGTAGAAAAAATTGGAGTGCACCTAATCAGAACTGGCAGCCAGCCACTTAGGGTGATTGTCCATGACACAGCAACATCACTGGATCAGGTATGTTCAGGTAACATCAGTTTGTTCTCTTCAATTTGTTTCATCAATGTTTCTAACCTATTTTAGAACTTGTTACTAGAAAGACAAAAAAAAAAAAAAGCCTGCCCTTGGTCAGAACAGTGTTACTGGGGGTGATACACAGGCCCTGAGGTTTTGCTTCTAAAGTGTTCCTAGTTAATTATAGTTTTTCTTTTGTTTTTTTTTTTTTTTTGGTTCTTTTTGAGACAGTCACACCATATAGTTCAGGCTGGCCTTGAATTTGGGGACAATCTTCCTGCCTTAGCCTCCCACGTGCTGGGATTACCAGTGTGTGACACCATACCCAGTCCATCATAGCTTCCTAAATAAATATTTGGTCTTCCTGTACACCACCTCATTTACTCGCTACAAATCCACTAATTTCAGTACCACTTTTAAGTAATGAGAATGACATAAAGAAAGTAAATTGGGAAAATAAAACTCAGAGGAAATTGAACATAATTGCAAGGAATCTTCCTGATTGCTTCCATGGATTTTTGACTCTTACTAGTTATTCTAACAGAGAAAAACCAAACAGAAATTCTTATTTAGCCATCCCCTGATACTTAATAAACTATTGAACAAAAATTTGCCAACAAAATTGCCAGGTCTTCTTTCCTTCTTTTGGGTCCTATCTAGGTGAAAAAAGCACTTTGTGTCCTTATCCAACATAACCTGGTGCTATATCAAGTGCATAAGCGCGGTGTGGTGGAGTATGAAGCCCAGTGCAACCGGGTGTTACGAATGCTTAGGTATCCCCGGTACATCTATACTACCAAAGCACTTTATGGTGACACTGGAGAGCTGATTGTTGAGGAGCTGCTGTTGAATGGCAAAATGACAATGTCAGCTGTTGTGAAGAAAGTGGCAGACCGACTCACAGAGACCGTGGAAGGTCAGTACTACATCTACAGCTGTTAGCAAAAGCATAGACTGGCTGGCTACAAGACTGACCTCTGCCATCCTAGGCCATCTCACTTGCTATTTCCTCCTGTTATACAGATGGCAAGACCATGGATTATGCTGAGGTGTCAAACACTTTTGTGCAGCTGGCAGACACACGCTTTGTACAGCGTTGCCCCATGGTGCATATCCCTGAGAATTCAGACACCGGGCCCTCACCGCCTGCCCCTAGCCTTGTCATTAATGAAAAGGACATGTACCTGGTTCCTAAACTGAGCTTGATAGGTAAGAAAGTTTCACCATAAATTTGTTGATTTCTTTAATTGTGGATTTTTCTTCATTCACTATTTCATTCATTTATGAATCAATTTACCATTTACAAAGTATTGGCAATATGCCAGACATTGTGGTATGTCATAATGAAAAAATTATGATCCCTGACGTTTTGAGACATAAGTCGAAGTATAGGAGATATACTACGTGAATCAGTCACATAGATACACTGACATATGTATCCATAATAAGTACCATGAAATAGAGATGTAAGCTGGGGGTTACAAAAAGTATAATGAGGGATTTGGTTTATGTAGGGGGTTATGTACATGTTTCTTTGAGAAAGTGGCATTGAAACAAATTTGTGGGGTTTTTTTGTTTTTGTTTTTGTTTTTTCTGTATTTTAGGGAAGGATCTACAGGGTGTTCAGGGTCTTACTTCTACATCGGACTCATAGCAAGTCTCTTGTTTACAGCCTCCCAAGTGCTGGGATTACAGGTGCGTGCCACCACTCCCAGTCTTAGTCACCAGCTCAGCGTGTCCTGGGGGTGGGGCCAGCATGGCTAGAGCTAAAATTTGAAAGAAAAGTAGAAGCTAATTAATGAGCTAATGGAGGATAAGCATTTTTGGCAGCGGAAGTAATACCCTGTGAGGAAAAAACTGGGCATTCAGGAAAGGAAAAGTCAGCATTGGCAAGGTGAGCAAACTAGAGAGAAAACAAGGTTAGGGAGAAGGCAGGGGCTGGATCACACAAGACCTTACACAGCATCTTTCCTTATCTTAAGAGCAAAGGAAAACTACTGAAAGATTGTAAGCTTGACACTCGGCATGATGGCTCATGCCTGTATTCCCAGCACTAAGGACTGCCACAAATTTGATACCAGATGCCAGCCTGGACTATAAATAGCAAGACCCTGTATCAAAACAAACAAATGGCCAGGTGTGGTGGCACATGCCTGTAATCCCAACATTCACCAGTCTGACACAGAAGGATTGTTTCAAGTTTGAGACCAGCCTGGGCTACAAAGTGAGCTCAAGGCTAGTCTGAGCTGCTTAGCAAGGCCCTGCATCAACAACAGCAAAGAATAAAAGAAAAGAAAGAAAGAAAAAAAAAAAAATATATATATATATATATACATATTATTATATGTGTATACACACACACACACACACACACATATATATACTTTTTTTGTTTTGTGGTACCGGGGATTGAATGCCGGACCTTGTGCTTGCCAGGCAAGCGATTATTACTGAGCTGTTTCCCCAGACCCAAGAAAAAGACTATAAGCTTGGAAGTGACATGAATCTAGTTTTCTTTTTGATCTTCCTGCTCCAGCATCCCAGAGTGATAGGATTACAGGCGTGTGCTACAACTCCTGACTGAATTTACTTTTTTTTTTTTTTTTTTTTGGTTAAATGAATGATGTTGCGCCCTGTGGGAAGCTAAGACAGGAGGATTGCAGAT